TCTATGTACATGATAGTTGAAGCCATGGGCACAAATGAAGTTGGCAAGCAAGAAAAGCATAGAAATAAAGGAAAAGAGGATCAAGGACAAAATTTTGAGAAATTATACATTAGTGGGGGGAGGGAAGAGTAAAAAACAAACAAACAAAAAAACACCAAGAAAACAAAACTAGAAAAGAAGGCGGAAGGGAAGCACTCCTTAATAAAATAGAGAGAGTGAGGCATTTCAGAAGATAAGTTTGGTAGATGCCTCATAGGGTATCTGGCAGTTCATGTCCCTCTTCTCTAAAAACTAATCCTCCCCCAACACACAGAGGGCTTGGGCCTGACAGCTATGTCTGTACAAAAGGACCTTGTTCCTCTGACCATGGTTGATTTGACCTGAGTTCCACAACTGACCAAAGCTGGACCAATCAGAATTTGTCCCCTGGGAATTTGGAATTAAGAAATATAGTGTTATTAAGGGCATGAACTGAGTGAACACAGAAATGTGTGCATGGGGTGGCCATCTTCTGTCACAGGCACATAAGAGCAGAGGAAACCTGTCTTCTGAGAGAAAAGAATGAAGTAATTTGCAGAAAATAGAAATGAAACTAGGTGACCAGAAAGAGAGAGAGCCAGAGAGTATGTTCATTTTCCCATGATGAATATTTTATGTCTTATCTTTCTTCTTCATTCCTCTAAAACCATCCCCACACCTGCCTACCTCTGATACAACTCCAGTATATTCCTACCATCAAATCTACAAATCTTTCGGCATTTGGACCCATTTCTCCTTCCTTTCTGTTACAAATGGTACATTTTCTCCTCTCCTATCAAAAGCCATTTCCTCTACTTCTCCTCTTACCTTCCCCTCTTACCTTCTCAAGGACTCCATTTCTTCAGTTATTCCCTCCTTCTAGTTCATCATCAAATTCCTGATTATTCCCAATATGTATGAACATGCTCCATCCTAATATTTAAAAAAAGCAAAACAAAGATTCTTATGCTACCCTTTCCATCTGCAGTCCTAATTCTCTGATCCCTTCACAGCAACACTTCTTGAGAGCGACATCTACAAGTTAACTCTCTGATTTGCTATAAAATCTACTCCAATCTGGCTTCCACCCCACCATGCCGTGAAAACTGCTAATCGCTGTTGTCAACAGCCTTCATATTGCCAGACCCAATGGATATTTCTTGGATCTCATCCTACTCCATCTTTTAGCGGTTTTCAACATAGTCAGGCTCAACTTCTTGAGAAAAAAATCTCTTCTTTTGGAGTCTAGGATACTGCCATTGCTTGGTCTGTCTCCTACTTTTCTAACTACTGTTGTTCACTGTCCTTCAGGGGTTTTTCTCCTCTAGTCTTCTCTAAAAATTGGGCTCTATTCTCTGGCTTTCTTGATAAACTCACCTTCTTGGTAATATCAGCCATTCCTATGGCTTTAAATACTATAAAATGCTGGCAACTCCCAAATTAATCTCTCCAGCCCAGACGTTTCCTCCAAATTCAAATATCCAGTTGCTTATTTGACATGTCAAGTCTCCATGAATATCTGAAATGAATGTATCTGAAACAGAACTAAACTCTTAGGTTCTATATTCTTGCTTTTCCCCTCATCAAAAAGAAATTCTATTTTTATTTTTTTCCGACTTCAGTAAATGATATCACCATCCATCCAGTTATTCTAAACCAGACAACCTGGGCAATATTCTTGATTTCTCACTCTCCTTCCCTCCCCAATCCAACCCATCAGCTACTCCTCTTGAGTGCTCCTCATAAATAGATATCTAATCCACCCACTTCTCTCCACCTGCTCTGCTACTACATTAATCCAAACTACCATCATCTCTTACCTGAGTTATAGCTATAGCTGCCAACTAGTCCTCCAACTTCTACTCTTGCCTGCCTTAATCTATTTTCTACTTCAGGGGAAACCTGGAAATATATTGGACCATGTTGTTTCCGGCTTCAATCAGTTCAATGTCTTCCAATTACTTTGCAATGAAATCCAAATTCCTTAAAATAGCTTAAAAGGTCTGACTGCTCTGGCTTCTGCCTCCTTCTCTAACCTAATCTTGCTCTATTCTCCCCCTCACCCTTTAAGTTCCAGCCATAGTGGCCTCCTTTCACTTCCCCCGAAACGCCACTGCAGGGCCTTCACACAGGTGTGTCCTCAGCCTAAAACACTCCTTCCACATCCTCACCCCTCAGCCTCCCTGAGTGACTCTCGCACATTCTTCAGTTCTCAGCGTAAATGTCATGCCCTCCGAGTATCCTTTCTGAGTCCTTACCTATCACTAATAACCTACAATAATCTATCATTAAGCCAGTTTGATTCATCTGTAGTGCTCATTCAAAGCTGTAAATACACATTTGTTTACTTGCTCACGGTAAGCCTTCCCCACTAGATTGTAAAGTCTCTAAGGGCAGGGCCCTTGTCTCTTCTGTTCACTACTTGATCACTTCAAGGGCCTAGAATATAACAGGTGCTCAATAATTATTTGTTAAAAGTTTATTGGTTACTGATAGCTTCCTACTTCCTGATTCCAATCCCTGTGCAGCCCAATTACACTTTCTGTGGGAGAATTTCTTGTGGTCTTATATTAAAATCCCCCTTGTTGTTACCTGAATAAGTTTCTGTTCTTATAATTAAATGATCACTTATAATTAAATGATCACTAATTGATAAAGTTTCTAAAAGGATGAGGTGATCAGCAATGTCAGATGCTGTTGAACTGGCAAGAAGGTTAAAGGCTAAGCAGAAGTCATTGGATCTCATCACTGGTGATCTTCAAGCCAATAGTGTCCATAAAATGTGGCTTCGCGGAAGCCAGATTACAGTTGGGTTGATGAGAAGGTGGATGAAACCAATGTAGAATATTCTTTTTGAGAAATTTTACAGTAAAAATAAGGCATGAAGTAAAATGGGATCTTAGGGTTCAGCAGAGTCCGAGAAAGTATATGTTCGTTTAGTTTAAAAAGAATGAAAAGAAATGTCCATAAGCCAAAGAAGCCAAAGGAGAAAAAAATGAAGAAGCAAGGTTTGAAAGGGGAGAAGCATTCATAGATTTAGCTTCCATGAGGCAGTAGAAGATTTGGTCAAGAGCACAAGTTTGACAAAAAGGGATAATGTTTCCCCCTCCATTACAGGAAGGAGGGGAGATAAGAGAGAGAAGGAAAAGAAAATTTTATGTAGAGCAAAGGGAGGTTGAGTGTGGCCACTTCAAGAGGTAGCAAAGTCATCTAGAATTGGTTGTCAAGGGGAGGGTCAGAATCTCTTGAAAGACTTTTCCGAACCACACCTCTATCCCTTTACTCCATCACCTCCCTGCCCAAGACTGTAGCTGTGTCCAGGTCCGTGTCCACGTCCACTGCAGCAGAGACTCAACTGCTGCTGGAGGCCACGGTGGCTGACGGGAATGGGCTTTATTTCTTAGGTGGGATGGAACAGGAAAAAAGCCTGCAATCGCTGAGGAGAAGGGTAGTCAGAAGAGAACATGGAGGTTTGAAGAGCTCTGACATCACAAAGAATGTGACGAGAACACAGAACCGTGTTTTCCAAACACTTAGATCATCAGGCATATCTGGGGCCCTTGCTAAAAATACAGCCTCCTTCCCTGGAGAGTCTAATTCGGCAGGTCTGGGAGTGGGAGGGGTAGGATTGTATAATTTTTAACAAGTTCCCCAGATGAGCGTTATTGTCAGGCAAATTTGGGAAAAAATAGATTAAAAATGAATAAAAGTTCACCAAATTTAATTACAGGCCCAAAATATTTTCTCAAATTTTAGCCAAACACAAAGAAACGTTGATAACTGACATCAGTTCATGGAAATTACCCAAGGAAAACAGTTTTCAAAGAATTGGTATCGAATTCTATGGTTCCAAATAATCTACAGTGATATTTAAAACATAAGACTAGTTTTTAGCTATTTATTATAGAGAATTTCATTGAGGAAAAGGTAAGTGGAACTGGAACTGACTGGCTAAAAGTTACTATTTATAATATAATAATCAGTCAGATATTTTAAAGCCTGTTCTGCTTCTAGTTTGCTTAGCTCCCGGATTAATAAGCTAAACATAATAAAATCTAAGAATGTAACTTGATCTTATCCATTCCTAACATTCTTAAAGGGGATCTTTAGCACACCAGCAGTGGAGCCACTGAGAGTAGATTCAGGTCCATTTAAAATATTTTTTCCATTCCCTCCCAGAAAGGGTGACCTGTATTGATATACAACAGTCAGGCCCCAGACTGCTTTCTGGGACCACAGGGCCCCACTAATTTGTACCAGTTTTCCTCTATTCCAGTTGGCCCTGACCATCAGGTATAAATTAGTGCTAAATCAATATTAGCTGATTCCTCCCCAGGTGTGGGAAGTGCGGAAACCTGATCACATGAGCAAACACAGCCCTTCCTGGCTACATTTAAAATAAGATGGTTATTATTTTACTGTATGGGGATTTAAAAAAAAAAATCAAATCTCAGGCCACCTTAATTTGCATTAACTTGATATACTGATATCAATAGTCAGAATCGACTTTCAGTTATTATAGTTTCCCTACCACCCTTCACACTTGCTTCATTCTTTCAGGGAGACTTCTCCTGCCCTTCCTATTTCTTCTCGCCTCTGGCCATGCCCTGTGCCCCACACCATTTTTCATTTCTAGTTCTACTTACTTATGGGGTCGAGTGGATGAGCCAAAGGGGACTTAGTTTACATATGTGCTTTAATTGCTCACCTTGAGTGGAGCAGTGTCCTAAATAAACTTTAGTTTTGCCACAGCACCATTACTCAACAAAGTATTTATACAAGTGTCACTTAATAACACAAAAATAAACAAGGCACTTAAACTTGTTATTGAGACAAGGAGCTTTAGCCGCCCATTTTCCTTACTCAAGGGCCAACCTCACTTCACTTGTTCTTAGAAAACTCTTAAGGAGTTTTCTTTAAAGAAAATCTAAGAAAATCAGGCCAACCACAAGTGCTGTGAGTCAGGTCTAAGCTACCTGTACCTTTGACAGGATTAGTTCCTTTGTTAATTTTCAGTGACAAGAATCTTGCCATTTCTCTCAACACTTCCAAGTCGTAGCTGCTCATAGTGTAGCTGTGCATTCAACATACTCACAAATATTGAAAATATATATGTTCAGTATTTAACCATAGAAGAAAACAAATGTTCGATATTCCAACAAAATGGTGTGACTCTACATGATTTTTTCCCTTCTATATCCTGAGTTTTATAGAAATGTCACAGTATTTATAAGGCACTTTCATATTTGTGACCTTTTCGTATGCAACAATTCTGTGAAGTAGTTAGAACATATATAATATTTCCATTTTACAGATGAGGAAACTGAGGCCTGCAGCCTTGGCTAGGGTCACAGCACAAGAGAAATTCAGAACTGGAAATCAGGTCTCCTGACTCCAGGCCCAGTGTTTTTCCCTGCCTATAACAATTGCCTTTATAGCAAGAGAGTCAGGGATATGATCACTTGGTAATAGAGAAGCATGGATCTTTTCCACCCTTGGTCTTTGAAGGACCTATGAGCTAACAGTGTATGCAAGAGAGGACACTTCCTGCCTGAGAGATTGATTACCTACATTCAGGGCAACCTGATGATGCACGCTGATAGGAGAAGGGCCTGTCTAAAGGTCCTAATTTGCTTTAAACATCCAGAGTTCCTGATAGGAAGACAGGGTGTGGTAATTATATATCTTGCTTTTGGCTTATCTTCTGCATATCCTCACCCTCACAGATGCCTTTCAAACATTGGTAATTACAGCTTTCAGAGCCAAAGCCTACAAACGCATAATCCACACAGATGACATACTAAAATCTATTCGAACATGTAAGGTAGAAAAAAATTTCACTGCTACTGGACTCACATTAAAAGAAAACTGTTTACAAAAAAGGTAGCCTTGATTTCTATGTCACTGTTGTTCTCTACTACATAGATGTGGAATGGTTTCTTGTTGATCTGTGGGGGTGTGTATTAACTCATTTGCCTCTGAATTTAATCAGTAATTTAAAAATAGACTAAAGTACGTGTGCAGATGACAAGACCATATGATTAAAAAAACCAAATAGTCTGACATTGGAAAATGGATCCAAGTTAATGAAACCAACTTGAAACAATGAAGGAACTGCTTCTAAGCAAGTCGAAGAATCAGTATCAACAAATAAGCACAACACAGGAAAGCAGTTGTCTTTGTCATGGTGGCCTATAAATGGAACCTGAGTTAATAACATCATAACTTCTTAAGAATTCAGCAAGTTCTTGCTATAGTGGCAGCAACATAATAATATATAAGGTATGGTGGAATTTCCCACTGTCTGTATCACTGGCCAGACCAATGGTAATATATCCTAATTTGGGGTCCCGCAATTTAGGAGTGCCTGCATGTTTAAAGAATTATGAAAATAGACTCTAGAAAAAGTCAACTTAGTTTTATTTGGTTTAGAGAAGCAGTTCAGAGGGCTTATTAATGGTCTTCAGGTACATTTAATGCCATACATATTGTTGTTTGGGTATTTTTTCATTATAGAAAGAACGTAAGGAAATATAGATTTGATAAAGACAGTAAATAAAAAGAACTAGCATATGTCCAGCACCTATGCTGTGCTGGGCACTCTATGTATATTATCTCATGGAATCCTCACAGAAACCCTGCAATGGTATCCTCATAGAAACTGAGAACGAGAGAGTGTAATAAAGTCAAAGTCAAAGGTCAAAGTCTTTTATCTGGTATTTGGTCCAAGGGTCTGTTTACCTCCAAAGCCTGTACTCCTGACACCAAGTCTCTGTGATACTACATTGGGTGGGTTATGGAATCTTCTTCCCTCATTCAATTCAAGAATAGTTTCTAGAGACATATATCTGGGATAGTGATATAGTCCTACCTATAAATAGGAAAATGGGCTAAATTCCTCTGAGGTCACTTTCAGCTTTGTAATTTTAGATTAAAATTCAGATCAATCAAGATTTAGTCCAAGGCTTTAACTGGGCCCATTATTATTATTTTTTAATCATTAAATATCTGAGACCTATAGCATGAATAAGACATTAGGTATTTATATTTAAAGTTTTCTCCACCTACTTAAATGTCCAACTGTAAGGAATTGGTCCAATAATTAGAGTATAACCATACAATGGAATTCTATGTTATGGTTAGAATTACGTTGAAGAAATTTTAATGATATAAGAAAATGTTTTGATATATTATCAAATGAATAAAAAGAAAATTGGAAAAACCAAACCAAGCTATAAAGTATATTTCCAACTGAACTTAAATATATATGTATATATGCATGGATTAAAAACAACTGGGAGAATATACACCAAAATATTAATAGTGGTTCCCTGTGGGAACTGGCATAATGGGTGACTTTTATTTTCATCTCTGGGCTTCTCTACGTTTTTCTAAAATAAACAGGTCTTACATTTATCACTTGAAATGATACTTTCCACACCACACACACATGCATGCACCCACACGCACACTATACAATTTTCGCAAAAGTTTTAAAATTTATAAATAGAATATATATTATGAATGCAATTATATATAGGATAAAGGAAATTATTTATTAAATAGCATCGAACCCATTGGTGTCAGTGTACCCATCACTGTAAATAGGATAAAATAAAATAAAATCCCTTCATGTAATTTCCTATTATGCTAAAATTATCATATATAACTACCAGAGTTCTTTTAGCCTCTAGCCTAAGATCTTCTACTCAGAAGGCACACAGAAAACACACAGCTAAGCATATGGTAGCATGTGTGTAAAATGGAGATAATAATCACCCCTAGCTCATGGGGTTCTCAAAAGATTTGAATAAAATAATACTTCTAAAACTCCTAGCACAGTGCCTGGCACATAGTAAGCACTCAGTAAACATTAACTGTGTTGGGAGTTGTGTTCTTACTGATAAGCTAAAGAACAGAATAATTCTATAGAGGAAAATGGTTGTTGATCTCAGTTCATATCAGCCACCTGGCACAAATATTTCATTTTTAAATAGTCTTAGAATTAACGTAGGTGGTGTCCAAAGGAATCTCTGGCACATTGTAATTATTAGTACATTTCCTTCATCATGCTTATCAAGTTTTAATAAGTAATAAAAACAGGAAATGAAGCCACGATATAATTTAATTTTTCCTTAATCATTTTGCTTATGTTTATATTACCAAAAATGATTGAAATAGAAAGAAAATGTTAGCACTTTACAACTACACTGTTATTGGCCTGCATTTTTAATTTTTATTTATGATTAAAAACAGCTTTGCATTTAGATATGTCCTTTACTATATAATACAAAGAAAAAGCACATCTAAAATTCTTCTTTGAATATACCATCATCCATTGGAGAATGTCTAATCAGCTCAGGCTGCTAAAACAGAAATACCAGAGACTGGGTGGCTTAAACAACAAACATTTATTACTCACAGTTCTGGAGGCTGCCATCAAGGTGCTGGCAGATTCCATGTCTGGTGAGGATCTGCTTTCTGGTTCATAGACAGCTGTGTTCTCACTGTGTCCTCACATGGCGAAGGGGGCAAGAGAACTTTCCGGGGTCCCTTTTATAAGAGCACTAAGCCCATTCATGAGAGCTCTACCCTCATAATCTAATCACTTTCCAAAGGCCCTACCTCCTAATACCATCACAATGGAGGTTATAATTTCAACATATGAATTTGGGGGGGACACCAACATTCAGTCTATAGCAGAGACACACACATACTTATTTAAGTGTATTTTAATCATCTACGTTAGGTAAAATTGGAATGGTTAAATGTCCCACATTTTTTAAGGGAAATCATTTTAGTAGGGGTTATGTTTCTAGATGAAGACACAACTCAATGATTTCAAAGAATATGTTTTGGGACTGGCATCATATTTCGAGATCAAGAATAAAAACCTCAGTTACCTACTAAGTGCAAGATGCTACAATTATAACTGATAAAAAAGTGGTACTGAAATATGAGTGGGATTTTAAACAATTCAACTTAGACTTGTTTGTCTTCCTCACTGATAGACACCGGAAGTATTTATTTAGGGAGCAAAAAATCCAGATGACTTGGAGACTTTTATGTGGAGAATAAGGACGTCTTTTGCCAAATGCAGCCATTTCCAAAGTGCAATTAAGGACCATACTTCACATATCAACCCTGCCTCTTTCTATCTCAGCCCTCATTCTCTGACCACTTTCTCAGAAGCCCCTTATATAATTCCCTCCAGGACCATTGCTAATTAATGCCTTCGAGGGTCTACTTTCCTCACAGCTATTGAGGATTTTTCCGCTTTTAAAGGAAGAAGTTTGTCCTACGTGATATATGTCAATCCTTGCCCAGCCTCATCTAGCTTGTTTTCCAGATAACAGGTTTATTTTTGGCCCCAGGAGGTAGGATAATGGTAGATTGGGAGCGGAATCTGGAGGGGGCACAAAATACCATCACCATTCAGTGCATAGCTGGGTAAACTAATTCCGCCCAAGACCACAGGATTCTGTATTTCCTTGTATATGCTCAGTGTGATTTTTCTTAAACATCAAAATTTCACATTTTAAACATTTTTACATTTCTTTCTGTTCCTATCATGTGCTTTAAAGATCATCAGTTTTAAAGCAAAAAACGAGAAGACAGGTAAAATTTAAAGGGGAAAGGATGGGAACCTTTGAAAAGTTTTTCCCTTACTCTTCCCCATGTAGAGTGAATTCATATTTGACTGAGTAGTGGTTCTACATGGTAGCATATTACCCTTGCAGATAAAGAGGGAATGTCTCTTTCTCTCCCCAAAGGGAAACTACATGTCTCTAGATTTGAATACTAGACAGCATCTGCCAATATGGGGCAGAATAGTTAAAAAAAGGATGGAGATATGGATTTTCATTTCAGAAGGCTAGAAGAGAACAGATATCTCAGGCAACTGAAAGAACATTTGTATCAGTAAAATTAAAAGAGCTTGAAGAAGACTGTACTTTGTGTTGGACAGATTTCCCTAGACAGGAAAGAACCCACCTGAATGCAGAGGGACAAATCAGTTAAATGGCCTGAGCTTCACTTTCTTCAACTGTAAAATCTGGTGATTAAAC